ATAGATTTTAGGTAATTTTAAAAACATTTAAGACAATAATTTATATCCACACTGATATAAATTGCATGATCTGGTATTAAAATAAAGGTGACCTCTTTAGGGCATTTGTTGCACATGCAATTCTTAGGACACCACTTTAGACTGTCACTAGGACCACTTTCGAAAGCCTTCCTATAGCAAATAGGGTTTGAGCACATCTCAGCAAACAGGGTTTGAGATCTAGATCCAGGGTTTAAAAATCTAGCACGCACAAGGCCGTGTAAATACCTGTTGTTTTGAACTGAAGCTCAAGATCTCCCTATTCTGAATTTTATCCAATATTTTCTAAAGAGGCATTTTTAAAATCCTGGTCTAGACAATAGATCAGGCTGCAGGGATGTGGGAAGCTCTGGCTTGTCTATCTGTCTGTTTGCTGAACTGATTGATGTGCTGTTTGCTTTTATGCTGAGAACTGTTTTGCTGCTTTGTGCATTTCTCAAAAATCTTTTCCCTCCCCTGACCCTTCCAGGGAACTCTCACTGTGCATGACACAGCTGTTTCAGGGACCCTGAAACACTGTGTAAGGGTGAAGTTACTCACAGAGGCTGTCTGCCACATACTGCACCAGCATTGTTATAAGAACCAGAGTATTTTTCATCTGATTTGGGAGAGAACACCTATTTTTATTTCCAGAGTAAAACCACACTCTAAATACAGTATCCTCTCACTTTTGTGCCTGAAGTCTACTTACAAGACACATCAGGGACTGTACATCAGCTTGTAAACCCAAGGTATGGGTTTACAAGCACGTGATTCCAGGGGCGTCTTGAAGATGTTTGCATAGTACATGTTGCTGACTTGTTTTACGTATTTAGTACACGTTTTGGAGGTAGTGGAAGTCTTTACTATCACGCAGTAGTTAATACATTAGACAGAGCTCCTGGTGACCAACAAGCGTATACAAGCCAATACACTATCCAATTCACTTAGGAAGCCTTATACACATCAGCAAATGTGGTGTAGTGAAACAGGAGTCCTGGTACGCCTTAATCTTTTATTTCCAGAATGGTAATACTCATCATTATCTGAATCTCAAATGATATGTCTATCTCTTTATCAGCAGACTTATATTCATTGCCTTTATACCATCGCTGTCACAAAAACGATGGTGGCTGTAGTCACCTGCACTGTGCTAGAGTGGTTGAAGACAAACAGTCATACAGTTGCATGTTTATTTGGCTTCTCTTGCCACCGGCATGGGGCAGACTTGCTCAGTAGTGACCCTGTTGAACTTTCAAAGGTATTTTTCATGCTGGTGGCGTAAAATCTTTATTCATAGCTGGAGACAACCTTGAATATCTGTCTTAGTTCTTACAGCAACCCCTGCTGAGGCTACAGTGTGCGTCTGACCTTACTCTAAATATCTGGAATACGTATCCTGGAGTTGAGAGAAATGCAATTTTGATATTTCTTTATAATTTTTTTCCCTGTAAGGATAGCCTCACTGGTAGCAAATGAAACACCACTTCTACAATGAAAGTCAAATGCCTACAATCCACTGTGGGCTGAATCATAATACCAGCACTTGGACAAAATATTCTGCAAAATCAACGGAAATTCTACTTCTGTTGGAGGATTAGCAGACTCTTTCAAGCACAAGGTGAACATAGGGCAAAACTAGGGAGGAATATTTTTTTAGATGATTTATAGCTTCACTAAAGCACAGAGATAAAGCCTGAAAGTTAAATGGAAAATGAGATGCCCACAAGAAACATGGTTCTTGATAATACTAAAATTAACCTTTAACATTAAATAACGTGTATATAAAATATTATTAAGTTTAGACATGGTCATTATCAGTAGCAAACCAATTGGGAGTATGGAAACCTCTGTCCTCCTGAGATTTCATGAATGCTTTCAAAATCTGCTTATGACAAGGGCAGATCTGCTGTTGATGGTCACTGTTCTTGCCCTCATGGTGGATGGATGGGTAGCTACGCTAGCGTCATGCTTTCGTTTTAGGAAAGACTCATCTGTCTTTCTCAAAGATGGACCTCTTGTGGGAGAGCTAGAAAGGGCTATTTCATCTTCCCCTCTCTTCTGTCTCTTGAGAAAGCTGCTGAGACGAGACAATACCTCAGTTCATACTGCCCTCTGAGCTGATGCCAGGGAGCCTCTTGCTTTGTTTTGCAGATAAGAAGGTGGCAGCAGGAGTTACAGTGGTTTTGTTTGTCTCTGAGGTGGAAAGTGAATCTTTTCATTGTAGACTGTAGATTTCTTACAAAATCTGTTACCTCAAGAGGACTGTGGACTGCAGCAGCATCCCCTGATTAAGGCTTCACATAACTATCATTCAAGGATTTATTTGCCTAGCTCTTGAATAGCATTTCTCACAGGAAGCAGATGTCACTTGTACTTTATTGGTTTGCACTGGCTTCCAGTTCAGGTTTGGTGTTACTGGAAGGTGTTGCTTCGGACCTGGAATATTCTGGCTGCCTGGGAGATGTTGCACTTAACAGGGAAATGTGAGCTAAATGCTGTAGACGTAATTGGGAGGTGGAGGAGGCAAGGTCTTTACTGTACAGTTCCCACCCTGGCTTAGGTTGTCCAGAGCCAACCTTTTTGCTCTCCAGAGTTACTTTTCCCCTTTCTTTTTTTGTTGAACTTTTGTTGCACTGCCTTTCCTATACAGCTCTATTCCATGCAATTTAAAGTGATGGCAACACTAGCTAATCTGCTTTGAAAGCTGGTATTCTGAATGCTTTGTGAGTTTTGAATTGCAATGACTGAGGCTTTTAAGAAAATAGAAATGCTGTGTAGGTTTTGACATTTCCTTATAGTGTCCAACGAGCTCTCTCTCTAAGCTCTGTAGGGCAAGTAGAATTATGCTTACTTTAAATGGTACAGGTTGATTTATTTCAGACTGGTTTTGAACTTGCACCCTAGCATGATATTTAAGCCTGGAAGAGCCTGTCTGGGACAGTAGTGAGCTAGAAAGCAGTTTGATGTTAGAAAGCAGCATTACAGCTGGAAGCAGGAATAGCAGTGGGGTATAAAGAGAGAGACAACTGGAGTTAGTTTTTTGCAGAGGAGGAGCCACTATGAAAAGTATAAAAGGAACTATAAACGAAGGGATGAAATGAAGACATATTTCATATTATCCATGACATTTCATATAAAAAAAATTCTATGCATCAGACTGCAAGGCAATGTCTCAATAAAGTTCTAAGCCTGAGCTTTGATTCAATCTGTCAGAGAAGCAAGACTCCAGAGCAGTTCCACAGAGGCATAGGATATGTGAGTATTAAATACAGAAGCAAGGTTGCAAGAAAGGACCTGTGCTCACCATGTGTTGAAGCATTGCTTTATCTTCCATGGATGTATCCCTGATCCTGTCACCAGACTGGCTGAGGTCTCCATGCCCCACTTTCCCATTTTCTGAATTGTCACCAGAGTTTGAACTTTGTCTTGTCTTAGCCTTTTTCTGTGGGCTGAATGACAGCACTGCTTCAGGGAGCCTTTCTTTGGTATTTTCTCTTTCATTCTGCACCTGTGTCTCTTCTCACAGAGCTATTCCCTGAGCATCATAAGGAACATCAGTGAAGAATTCATTTTGTTTTGTCAAGTTTCTGGTCTGACCCTTAATTTAGAGCAGTCATTTCAGTCTACAATAAACTCTGTGTTCCTGCATGCCGCAGTGAAAGAATTATGAGCAGTCCTTAGCCATGTGCATTCAGGATGCTTTGGTGGCCCCATGGGACAGGTAGACTTCAGTGCCTGAAAACTTATTATAGAATGGAGGTACAGTCAGTACGTTATTTTCTGTATAACAGTGTATATGTGGGTCTGCCCGTATGTAAAAGCTTTTTACATGATTCACTGAGGCCATTAGGAGTGGAATGACATACCACCATTTCAAGCACAGAGCTCTTCAAAATGAACAGCTTTTTCCGTCTTTCCCCAGGGAGCCCCAAGAGCCATCCAGCATGTAGGTGGGAGGAGACTGTTCATAAGTCTTCCATTACAGCATCCAGGAACACAAAGCTTAGTGTTGGGATGAGCCTGCATCTCTGAGTGATAAATAAGGCAGGGCAGCTAGATGAAAAGGGCTGACTTCTCTTGCTAAGACAAAGGTGGACTGATTTTTAAAGTTTAACAACCTGGACTTCTCATGAGCATATGGAGCATGTGCTGGTAGATGGTCCAGAGCGCCACACAGTATTCTATAAGCACGGTGAGGTAATCAGGCAACAGAGCAGAATGAGAACAAAGATCTCTTTTCACTGACTTAGTCTTAGACATATATTCTGTGCTTTAATCTTTACTGTGCTTTTTGCCTCTCTTTCTTTCTGATATTCGTTGATACACCACGATATATCCAGTCCAGGTTGCTTATTGTTTTCTTTTTTTTGCCACATTCATTCTCAAAATTTCATATACCCTCTTGGTTTTCAGTCCTCTGAAGAAAGCAGACCTTCTGGGTTTGCATAGTTGGACTTGGAGGCTAACAAGAATGTGCTTTCTTAAGTGATTTTGGCTTATTTGGTTTCTGAGGTCATGGACATAGTGGAAGAACACCTGCTCTCATCTTGCTTCAGCACTTAATCCCTGTCCCAGACAAGCCTAGAAGGGCACGGCACAGGAGGTGAAGAGTAATGTAAAAAATTGCTCAATAACTTTTTTGAACATCCGGAAAGGTTGATGGATAATGACTTTATTCTCCCTGGTTTTCTCATATCCACACCAAGAAATAAGATAGATGCTGTTTCTTCAACTATTACATTCATTGCTTGAGAGAATGAAAAAAATATGAATAATCCAAGGTCTCTGCAAGCAATATAGAAAGTGTTGAAGGACAATTGTACACGTTCCTTGTATGCCTGATGCAAGCAGAAATTTCTGTTGGCAAATACTGCTTTGGCTAAGGCTTTTCAAGACTTGTTACCAGTCTGTGTGGGTGTGTGCACATCTACTTGACATTTTGCTTTATTTTTTTTCTAACTGAGCCTATTTTCCTTCAGGGTGGCAGGACACAGTGTATCCAAGAAGTCTGCCCCATTCTGTCATGTCCCCAGCACCTCAGTCACATTC